AACCCTAAACCCTGAACCCTAAACCTACATCACTATACGCGTTTATGCTATGTTCTATATAAGGTATGTTGTTATTACCGTGTAAATATATATAGTGCCAAAAAAGGGGGATATTAATGCAACGCCAGAATTGTGCGAGGGTTAAGAAAACAAACCAAAAAAAGGACAATGTTACATTTTATAAAAATACTTGCCACATGCTGTATCCATGATAATCATAATGCAGTGTTTTTTATATGTAGGATATGAAATAATTGTTGCTTATATATGTGCAATATGGAGAGACTTTTTCCCTTTTTCTTCTAAAATGGGCTCCTCATGCATAATATCAATAAATACTTCATCATATGAACAAACAATGCAATATAAACACAAACCATGTATATTAGTAAGAGCACAAACAACATTATAATGTAGAAAAGCGGAGCTATAGGATATGTGGTATAAAGGACAAAATAAGCCACATCATACAGGCGAACATACAACATCATGAAAAAGGTCGATCCATTACATAGACGAATAACACATTATGACGTCGAAATAGTCTACCAAAAGTAGAATACGGCACATAGTTATGGTTTTTTAGGTAATTTCAGTGACCACGGTAGTTTCAGCTTCCCCGGTGCTTCCGGTTTCTTTGTTGCTTCCGGTTTGTTAGGTGCTTCCGGTTTCTTTGTTGCTTCCGGTTTCTTTGTTGCTTCCGTTTTCTTATTTACTTCTCCTTCTTTTTTTTCCGTTTCTGTGGCAGCGTCGTCCTTGCAAATATTCTTTAGTATACATTTTCCCTTCTTCGAGCAACAGAAACATAGTAACACGCAGGCATAGATAATTGCAATCAATATGGAACCTCCATAGAAGACCATGAACTGCACAAAACTGAATGGTAATCCCGCATAGAGCGCAGTGACCATGGTTCGTCCTACATCGGACAGAAGTAATGGGTAAATAACTGAGAGTACTAATATAAGCGCCAACCATGCCTTTCTTCCCATTTTACAACGTTTCAATTTCTGACAACATTCCTTCAGCTTGTTCTTCGCTGTTCCAACCTGTGGCCTCTTCTTTACAGGTCCTGGATTCTTGACGTGCACCTTGGGTTTACATTTTCTTCGCATGTCATCGAACACCGTGTTCTTGACGGGACTACCCGTAGAATGACCACCGTAAAAATTACGTTGACCCCGTGTCCCTACATCCGTTCCATCACTCAACGATACGGTGGTCGCTCCAACTGTACTTGCATCCGTAGCGTCATATGGGCTTGTGCCATTACCCGAGGATGTGCCCAACGTACTCGCCTAAAATGTACAAAAAAAAGGGGTAATATATGCGATTGTTATGGTGTATGCATACAAGGATGTAGAGCGTGCAAATGGTAGGACGGTTTATAGTTGTGTTGAAGGAGTCAGCAGCTTATCACAACAAATGTGGTAACTGTCCCAAAATACAGTTGTTTGTTCCATACACAGTCAGCAATTTGCCAAGAACACAGGACTAGAATACATATAGAGAATTTCACAAGCAACATCATTCTGTTCTTCTTTTTTTTTTTTGTATAGAAAATGTTTGACGTGGCGACATATTTTTTATATGTATGAATTATAGAATTGTTTTCTCTTCCACATCTAGGTGTAAGGATTATGCGAGTAACACCTGTTTTTGTTGGCCAATAATGAACATTGATAAAAGCAATTATGTACGAGGTTTACTATTCTTACCTAAGTATGTACATATGAACTCAAGGAAGAATTCCTATGCACAATGCTACAAATACAACATGAGGAACGTGCGACAGGCACGGATAAGAACCAGTTTTGGATACATGCTGTACGACGTAAAAGTTGACTAAAGGGGTCAACATTTTTCACGAATTTCAGTACGGGATCATCAATCATGTCGCCGTTTTAACGGTGTAATGGGATCAAATTGTATATTCAGCAGAGCAAAATTCCATATCTGGAATAACATTTTACTCTTTTTAAGTCAGGTATAATGGTGAAGAAAATAAGCAAAAGAGAATCAATTATAGCCCGTTTTACATATAAGAACGGCGCACAAAATTTGGGAATAGAGCCGTGGGCTCAAGGTTACATGGTATCAGTGTTCTGGGGGTTCTTAGTGTGACGTATTCGCATAATTATAAATGTGTCGTGGCCGTTTATTATTTATGGGCGTCGTCATTTATATCGTTCTCAGCTTTTATTACGTGTAGTGATACATAATAAATGCAGAAATATGGTTTGCAACGTTCTTATGCGTGTATACCGGTATCTGTATCTTTTTTTTGACAAAGTGTGAACGGATTTAATTAAGAGCGTAAGGAGCATATATAAATAAAGGATAAGTATAGTGAAATTGTTGGCTTAGGACTTATGGTTTAAGATTTCGGGGATTGTAAGGCTCGGTGATTGCGAGGTGGAAGGATCCGGATTTAAGATTCAGGTTTGTACGGTTTCAGGAATATGAGGTTGCGGAATGCGGATTTAAGATTCGGGGTTTTGAGGCTTATTGTTTCAGTATTGTAAGGTTCCGGTATTGTGCGGTTTTAGGAATATGAAGTTGCGGAATACGGATGTGAGATGCGGGTTTTGAGGCTTACTGTTTCAGTATTGTAAGGTTCCGGTATTGTGCAGTTTTAGAAATATGAAGTTGCGCAATAGGGATTTAAGATTCGGGGTTTTGAGACTTATTGTTTCAGGATTGTAAGGTTCACGAATCCGTATTCAGCATTCCGGGTTGCGGATTCAAGAATAAGGTTTTACGGTTCACGGGTTAAGAAGTTGTAGGGGGCTTATGATTTTAGGGCTTTTTTTTTTTTTTTTTTTTTCCGGAAAAAT